CTGCGAGGGAAAAGGGAAAAGGAGAACCGGTCATCCATGCGTAAACGAAGACATGGTGAGGCATCCCTGGTAGGGGAAGTTTCGCTGTTGCTATTTACCGCGATCGAAAGGGATAAAAAAAAATATATATTCCAAGTGAATGACTGAGATGAAGAGGGAACGAAGAAAATGGATAAATAAGTAGTAAGTAATAAGTAGTACCTGTGTGTATTTTATATTTGTATGTCTGTGTGTCTGTACGTATTTGTGTGTGTATATTTGTGGTATGTATGTGCATGTATGCGCCCGCGCGCATGTGTGTGTGTGTGTGTGTGTGTGTGTGTGTGTGTGTGTGTGTGTGTGTGTGTGTGTGTGTGTAAGTGTGTCTGTGTGTGTGTATGCATGTGCGCGCACGTGCCATACATACATGTATGGTAGAAAAAACATTGCGATTTCATTTTCAATCATCCATTCATCTAAGGTAAAAAGGTAATAAACGGAATCCAGTAATCATAAATCAGACGTAATTAACTACATATCTCATTAATTTAATGCAGTCACATACTATGAGACATACAGGGTATATAATTTTCTTGGTCACTGAATTTACGAACTCAATTCTTTTCTACACTCAGGTCCTTTGCACTCGGCTAATTAGTAATGCAAAAGGAGCTTAGCTTAATATAGATACGCACAATAAACCAAACCAGTTCCTCCCCTTAATCAAAGCCAATGAAAATAAGCGAAGCAATTCATCGCCTCCGCCAACTGCTCCCCGAGAGAACTGACCTCGATAGAGAGGGCGAGGAGGTCACCCTCCGCCGTGACCCAAGCGCGGTCAGAGTCCTGCACGATGTTACTGGGAGCCGAGATTTTCCACGTTTTATGGACGTCCTTCCTCTCGGTCGACACTGTGATAGATAGTAATAAAGTCAGCTGTGGAATAGATCTGGAATAGGCCTAAAATAATCCTTTGATTTAAGATATTTAAATTTGGGCCCTGAGATATGTACAAAAAACTGGGAATGAGTTTTAATAACGATGCGTTAAAGGTCTTCAGATCTGAAATGATAATTCCAGAAGTTTTCACCAAATAGTCTTGACTATCCTGAAAAAAATATATATATATCGCTCCTCCTTTTCAGATCACTACTGACGAAGCATTGATATCTCCTGGCTTATTTTAACTATTACAGAATTATTTGCATGTTATCTATTCTCATTTTTTATACACGTAACTCAGTTGTACGTCTGCCCAAACACAAAATGAAACACATAGACTGACTCCCCTTTTATCAAAATCAAAAAGCAAATGACCTCACCGTTCGCGCAGATGTATCGAGACCAAGTCTTCTCTCGCAGGTAGCCCTCCGCCTCCACCTTGATACTCTTGATCAATGTATCTCTATAAGTTATGATCGATTAGCTTAATTCATGTAATCACTAATATTATCAATTGATGTATGAGCATGAAAATATGTTTACATTTCGTGTAGGACTCATAAATGGGCTTATAATGTGTTAGTAGATTTTAGAATATGTCATTCAAAAATACTGCAACTCGTCTTTGATTTATTCTCAGGATTTTTCCCGAACTCTAAGGCAGACTAATCAGACCAAATCAAGCCAGCACTGCCTCCTCGTCCCGCCGCCTCTGCAACCTCAGCTGCAACACGGCCCTCCCTACCTCCCCTTGACCTTCTCCGACCCAGCCTCACAGGGCAGGGGGATGCTGTAGTCCACGTGGGCAGAGACTGTCAGCTTGACATCACCGAGTGACAGCATCCGGATCCTGATCGTGTGCACCGCCTTGTCCTGCGGCTTGAGGCAGGTCGTCCTCTGGTTCTTGGGTCCTGTGGCGGTGAGGGCGTCGTCCGCGCTCTCCTTGCCTCCTTTTCTCTTCTCGACGAGGATGTCAATGTCGGGGCTCTCCTCCAAGATTAGGCTCACCTGAAGAGGGTGGGGGGGGCGAGGCCTTGCGAGGTCAGGACTTTTTTTGATCGAAGTTGGAAGGTTGACAAAATGAATGAAATATCAAATATAGAGTTTTCATCCCTCAAATCAATTTCATTGTCTTTATCAAAATGATTCTTTATGAAACATAACGATCATCACAATCATTATCCTCCGCCTCTCCCCTAACTACTCCTTTCCTCCCCCCCCCCCCCCTCTCGTCAACATTCTCCCCATCCCTGCTCCCTCCCTCGCCCTCACCCACACTTTCCCTCCCTCTCCCCCCCCTCTTCCCTCACCCTCACCCACATTCCCCCCCCCCACACACACACACACTCACCGGCAAATTCTCATGAAGATAATTAAAAACCGAAATCTTGACCGGGAGGACCTCGCCTCGCTTGACGGAGGGCGGGAGGGTGAGGTCGGTGAAGAAGGGCGTGAAGGCGGTGATGGACGCCCGCTCGGACAGCCCCACGCCCTTGTCCGCGTGGGCGCACACGGCCTGCCCCACCCACTCCGTGATCGTGTCGGGCAGAGCGAGCTTCTGGTCCACAGCTCCACCGGA